GCATGATTATAGCATTGGTTATTTATTTGAGAGAATAGGTGCCTATCTAAAGACACTTCTGAATTAATTGGATCCTATTACGTTGTATCAATTATCAGTTCATGGTCATATCATATCTATGGATTTGGGGGTATTTTTATCTACCAACATTATGGAAATATACACTTGTATACTGGCACGCAAGCTCATATGCATGTCAGGACTAGCTTAGCAGCAGTAATAAAATAGTGATGATCTTGTATTGAGGCAGTTTTATGCTGATGTAATGAAAACATCTGCTGACCTAGTGGCCTCATTTCTTTCTTAGGAAGTCCATACACCCCAGGATTCTTTGGACGCGTTAAAATGGAAAATTGAAATGGGTGCCAGATGTAATACTACTTATTTGAAATGGATATTCAATTTTATCAAAACATTTATAAAACAAATCTGACATATTTGCTATGATTTCTGTGTTAAAGACCACTCGCACTTGTGTTCCAAGTATCATCTCTAACGCCAGTAAATGTTTTTGGAGTCATATAGGCGACCTAGCTTATGCTTGATTCTGCTCTACTCGTTTGCAATTTATTCCATGAGCAGCAATCTTAAATGTTTTTTCGTTCTATAAATCTTTGAAAGCCCTTTTTTTATTCCAAAAAAATTACTAGTATATTAAAACTAATATTTTCTCTTCCCGGGAACAAGGAGCTGAAAATCCATCATAAAAATAGTCGAGCCCTATACGATTTTTTAGGGATAACTTTAATGAGAAGAAAAGACATTCTTTAACTTCTTTTTTCAGTCGTTTACGTTCTTTATTTCAAATCAAAATTTGTGCATTCTGTAAGAACTCTCTTGGAAGTTAAAAGAAAACAAGATTGGAGGTGATTGAAAATAGAATGGACGACAAGTATTTCCGCGTTCATTTTAACTTAAAAATATCCTGGTTCTTCAGCTTCATTTGTACATGTATTTTATTAACATCTCTTTCATTTTGAGGAGTTCAAAATGTAAAATAATCCACCTTTTCGATTGCAAAACCCTGAAGTTTTAAACCTAATCTGAGCATTAGTGTTTCTGCCTTTTTTCTTTTGTATAACTTTTGCCTTATTCTCGCTTGATGATTTTCATTCTATCTCCTCAGTAATTTGAGGTGGAACAAGCTGCAAGATGCCATTCCTCCTGAAATTGGTGAACTAAAGCAGCTAACTCATCTGTGAGTATATTCATATTCTGAGATTAGTTTCTTTTACATCAAATTCTCTCTGTACCTTTAACATAGCATGAAACCACTGCAGCTACCTGAGTTTTAATAATTTCAAAGGTGAAATCCCAAAAGAGCTTGCAAATCTTCCAGAACTCCGTTATCTCCAACTTCATGAAAATCGTTTGACAGGGAGAATTCCACCTGAATTGGGAAATTTGCAAAATCTGCGATACTTGTAATAATCTCTCCCAACCTCGTAGGGCGTGCTCTTTGTTTCCCTTTTCAGCTTACCTAATTGGGTTTGACTGTATTTCAAGGGATGTTGGAAACAATCATTTGGTTGGGACTATAAGGGAACTCGTACATATTGAAGGATGCTTCCCAGCTCTACGTAACCTGTACGCTGATTTATTTTAATGGACTCTGATCTTTTGTGCTCATTCAAGAAATGAAGGACTACCTAAAGGACTTTTCTTTATATTTTTTATTTCAGGTATCTTAACAACAATTATTTTACTGGAGGCATTCCAGCACAGCTTGCAAATTTGA